TGGAATTACTGAAATTGATCTGTGTCCCAAACCCCGCTCCAAACAAATGCATGCTGAAGAGAACAATTCCTTGTTCTGATTATGTTGGGGACATTGGATTTAACTTTCCTTCATTCAACATGACTAATCTATGTTATAAATGATCATAACTCACAAATATTAAACTCACAAAGTAAGAAAATACAGGAATATCAATCCCTTGCAGAAAGCCATCACTGCCTCTCCACTGCTCTGAGGGTACAGGTCCTTTTACTGAACATGCTGCACACTTAGCCCTGCAATACCACTCCCACCAATGCTCAGCCCAATGCAAGCCCAGGGTTCCAGCTACAGCTCTGGACATTCCTCAGTTATTCAACCCTCTAGGGTCCTGTCTTTTCTCCATAATCTCCTGCCCCTCATCTAGAGCCCAGACTACGTGCTCCCAAGGCTCAGGCACCAATCCAACCCCTGGTTCCCAGCATTTATAGAAAACTCTTCACTAAACTTCCCCTGCAACTCTAGGTTAGCAATTTTCTTCTTACAGATCCTTCTAGGATACCGATCACAGCATCTCTAGACATACTGAAATTGTCTCCTACCCCCTCTCTCTGCCACGAGGACTACCACACTGTGTGCCCAACCTCAACATGGAGGACAATGAGTAAAGAGCACAAATTCTTTGTTTTCTTTGAGTGCATCAAGAAGGAATTTTAACTGAGAGATCAGTTAAAAAACGGTCTACTTGTACCATTCATAAGAACTTCCAGGCCAAGAAACACCCAGATGGCCTAACTACTACTGTAGCTCACTACCCATTGTTGGTATTTTAAGAGTCAGAACAGTACTGGATTGGTGTGTTTGGGGTGGCATTGACGGATATTTTCCCTCAATTTTTATCCAACCTATTCCTGGTATGAGGTTGAGTTCTCCAGAAACAGACTGAGTTTTATTTTGGGAATGAACTTGCAACTCGGGAGGGAAGCAAAGGAAGCAGGGTTAGGCAGGAGGAGGAGCTGAACTGTGATGCACTCTCAAAAGAGATCTGTGGGTCCCACACAAAGTTCTGAGACTTGGGAGACTTTACAGTCATCCTGAATGGAAGCAAGGGCCTGGGCATTTGTACTCTAGAGAAAAAGTCGTGAGATGCTGTCCAGCCTCCCGGGAGGGATCACGACCTTGGGCAGAGTGACTCCCAGAGGCAGAGAGCAGCTAGGCAGAATGTGAACTGGGAACCGTCCACAGCCCGAAGTCACAGCTGAGTCCTGAAGAAGGCACCACCGTATCCACCACACAATTCCTGACAGGCAAGAAGAGACCCTTTTATTCCTTCCGATTGTTCAGAACTTTTGGGCCCAAGGTGCTTATCCTTTATAGTTTTCCTTCAACAAGCTGGTGATACAGTAAGATAGATTTCTCCCTAATGTTCTTGCAGGAAAATAACTAAAGAGCTAGCAAGCATTTTTCAAATAAAAACACCTCCACCGAGAGACCGCTGGTAGGACAGGTGTGCAGCTTTGGCAAGGCCGGGGAAGAGGTTGCAAAAAGAAAGTTTAGAGAAACTTCATCAACAACAATAGACAGCAGCTATACTTTATCAATTCCACGAGCTTCCCATGAGAAAGGAGCTGAATCAGAATGAACCTGGATAATCACAAAGTTCCACGCTTTCAAAGAGAATTATCCTGAGGGCCTGTGATGGCAGAGACAGAAACCCCATGCATATTTGTTGAACTGAAGTAAATGAAGTCTTATGCAAAACTCTTGGAATCATTCTTTTTCTCTGAAAATGTGAAGGTTTTGGTTCCAGCATAAAGCAGGTCAGTCTTTTAAAATCAATAAAGGTGTCCTGGGGCTTTGGAATTAAGGCCGGAGATCAAGGAAATGGCAGAAAAAGAAGAGGGGCCTTAGAGGGAGCCGTGGGTGAGATAAAGGAGATATAGGAAGGTACTCTGGAACCTCACTACATTCTGGCCACGCCACGGCCAAGGAAGAAAGCAGGGAGGTGTCTAACAGGGATTGTCAGATACAGGTCCCAGGAAAGCGAAAATCAATAGTTCTGAGTCATAAAACCAGAAAAGCATTGAACATTTGGATGCTAAAGCAGACCCACAAAATAAAATTATCTTGTGATATGCCAGTACCTGCAGAAATAAACAGAAACCACAAAAGCAACTTGCTACAACTGTAGGGAATGGAGATCCTGGAATTTTTTTCCAGACCCACAAAAATGTGTAAACTCCCACGGTTACTGTATTCACGGATGGTGCTATTCTCAGCTGCTTCAGGGAATCCACAAGTCGAAAGGCTTTCATGGAGTCGTATGAGACTTCTGTTTCCCACCTTTATTTTTAAGACAATGCCCTGGTCTGTGAAGTCTACTATCAAGATTTTAATGTCTAGTTTCTGTATTTAGGTAGAAGCTAGTATGTCTACCTCATTTTACTAATGGGCATACGTGCTAATTACCTGCAGCTTACCAATCTCCCTCCTAAGCACATTTGTCCACAAGCTCATGGAACTTGACAATGAACGTGAACTACTAGGGCAAGGGTGGCAATCATTTACCAAGCTAAAGATCTTGCCACCAGTAACCACACTCTCTGTTTTGTTTTGAATGTTTATTTCTTTACATGCATCTACCTGAAAAGCAGAGGGACAGGAAAGGAAGAGAAAGAGGGAGAGAGAGAGGGAGAGAGATCTTCTTTCAGCTCGTTCACTCCTTAAGCGCCAGCAACAATCAGGGTTGGGTCAGGCCAAACCCAGGAGCCTCAAACTCAATCCAGGTTTCCCACATAGGTGGCTGGGACCCAAATACTTGAGTCATTTACTGCCTCCCAGGATGCACTGGCAGGAACCTGGACCAGAGGTCAAGGAGCTGGAACTTGAACCAGCATTGCAATATGGGATGTAGGCATCCCAAGTGGCAGTTTAACACACTGTATCACAATGCCTGGCCCTAACACAAGCTTTCTTATCCCTTGCATAACATAGGAATGAAATTTTATAAAGCTCTATCTCATCTTGCAAAGATTTCTCAGAGATTCAAATGAGATTTGGCAGTAAAAGTAGCTAATAAAGTTTAAGCTACAACACAGCTATCACAACATGTGCAAAGTATAGAATTCTGTTGTGGAAAGACTACAGAAAATATTCTGTAAAATAGGTGAGAAAATGGTTTAGATATAAGTTCATTTACATTTGACCATTTCTCCCCCTAGTAATAAAAGCTACCACATCGAGAAATATAATAATACAGGAATTTGTTCGTGTTTACTGTAAAAATGCTTCTATTATCCAGATAGCATCATAAAACCATTACATCTGGTGTGATGAAAAAAAGTCAATATTTACCAAGAACATTTAATACGGGCTGGCATTCATTGTTCTAAGGGTTTCGTAAGTATTAACTCATTTAATTCCCATTATAAACCTATGAGGAAGGTGCTATTATTAAACCCACTTTACAGATGAGAAATCTGAGTCTCCAAGAAGTTAAAGAATTTGTCTAATGTCGCTCCCCCATTCGCGGAGGAACGACACCGGACCCTGCGCTGTTCTTTTTGCCTGGCCCTTCCCGGGTTAGCTGCCGTTCGTTCCCTCACTCGCAGAGGAACGACGCCATCCCAGGTTAGCTGCCGGCCCCCCTGCCTCCGTGGAGGGGCGGCACCCTCCGCCGCTTTCCCCACTTCTGTGGAGGAGCAGCACACCACCAGCCGGCTCTCTCGGGGGCTGCTCAGGTGTTCCTTCAGATGTTCCTGGTGCATGTTGTCTCTCCTCCTTTATAGTCCTCTTCCACCAATCCCAACTCTGCTACCCACATGCCGAGTACGCTGCTCTCCTCCAATCAGGAGCAGGATCAGCTCCTGCAGCTTATCAGTCAAACTGATGAGGCAGCTGCGTAGAGGTTGTTTGGTCTCTTTCTCTCAGCACCACATTGTGGGAGAGCAGATGCATAGAATAAGTCATAATTCCAGTAACTTAGTCTAGTCTCAGTTGCTCCCCACAGTCTAACATCACAAATAAAGAAGCTGGCAATACCAAGAACTGCACTTAAGCAGTCTGGCTCCTAACTCTACGCATGACACCCAAGAATGAGGATGGATATCAATTCTAACCTTAAAAACCTGTAACTGTAGGAAGGATATAATATTTTTAATGTTAACATTTCTAATGTTTTTATCTACCCTCTTACAAATGCATAAAACCATGTGATTAAAAACAAACCCACAGGGCCGGCACCATGGCTCACTTGGCTAATCTTCTGCCTGTGGTGCCAGCACCCCAGGGTTCTAGTCCTGGTTGGGGTGCCGGGTACTAGTCCTGGTTGCTCCTCTTCCAGTCCAGCTCTCTGCTGTGGCCCGGAAGGGCAGCGGAGGATGGCCCAAGTGCTTGGGTCCCTGCCCCTGAATGGGAGACTGGGAGAAAGCACCCAGCTCCTGGCTTCGGATCAGTGCAGCACCAGCCATGGCAGCCATTAGGGAAGTGAACCAACGGAAGGAAGACCTTTCTCTCTCTCACTGTTTATAATTCTACCTATCAAATTAAAAAAAAAAAAAAAAAAACACGGGAACAGCTATTTAGCCCATTGATTAAAATGTCCTTGTTCCCCATCTTGTTCCCCATAGGAATGTCTAGATTCCATTGCCAACTCCAATTCCTGATTCTAGCTACCTGCTAATGCAGACCCTGGGAGGCAGCAGTGATGGCTCAAGTACTTGTGTCCCTGCTACCCATGGTGGAGACCTGGGTGGATGGACTTCTTGGCTCCTGTCTTAAGCCTGGCCCTGCCCTGGCTTATTGCAGGTATTTGGGGAGTGAACCAATAGATGAGAGTGTGTTCCCTCTTCCTCCTTCCCTCTCTCTTTCTCAAATTTATAATGCACAACAAAACCAAAAATCTAGCCCAGAAACAAACAGTCTAAGACCCAACAACTTCTTTATTACTCATAAAGGAACAGACTGGTCCTTGCTGCTTCAGCTGCCTGCCTGCGGTAACCCCATTCCCAATCTTTCCTTACCAGACATTCGATTTGAACCAGGCTAGACGGCAGCCTAGTCATATCGTAGTCTCCCATCAGAACTGCTGTGGCAATCCGCGCTTTTCTCGAAAGAAATGGTCTTTTTGTTTGAGTCCTCCTGTCCTCCATCTTTTGAAAGAAAGAAGACAGAAGACACAAATAAGCTACATTGTTTGGGCAGAGCCATGTGCTCCAGTAGGTCAGAGCATATCACCAGAACATGAGCACATGGAGCAAATTAAATGCCCATTGAGCTTACTGAAAGAAGGAAAAATAGTTATTTTGAACCTTTGGGCTTCTGCTGAAACTTCAGTCAGTGCCGAAACATGAGTACCTTCCCTGTGCCAGACTACGTTCGACACCCAGGACAGAGGACCCAGGTCTTGCCTCAGGAGTAAGAGCAAAGCAGGACAGAGCAGTTCCTTAGAAGCCACCTGTGGCAAGTGTTCAAGGGAGACAAGAAAAGAGGATAATGGGAAGACAGAGGAAGAAGAAGAGAATGTAATGTGTGTGTGTGTGTGTGTGTGGCAGGGGGTAGTTGTATACTTGAGAGTTAGTTTTGAGTAAGATGGATGGGACTACGGATCCCACTGTAGGGTGGATGAAAGGAATGGTTTCAAAGTTTCTAGTTCTCCTGGGACAGCTCAGGCCAGTATGAAGACAAACTAGTTCTAAGAGGCTAAACCCAAATTCCTTTGTTCAGAAGCCCAAAATGAAAAGTTTCAAACTACTGTTAGTGCCATCTGTTGGCCACAGTAGGAGTTGACACACATTGAGCTCACATTGGGCTGGCTTGAACTTCACGTATCGGAACTTTGGGAGTTACAAAGCCAAGGATCATCTTTATTTTCTAGAGAAGGAGAAAAGGATAGTGGTTAAAAGTATGCAGGCTCTGGGGTTATACTGCCTTGGGGGATATATCACTACAGTACATGACATTGGCTATTTATCTAAGATTCAGACTTTATTCAAATACAAAATGAAAAAAAATAGTCACTATCTCACAGAACTGTTTGAGGGCTGGAATACATGCTGCATGAACAAGAACTCTCATATACTAGTAATGGAGAAATAAAGTGACTTTTTAAAATTATTAATATGTTGAATGCATGTAGACCTATAACCTAGCATCTTCAGTTTAAGCAATATACCCAAAAAATGTGTGCATGGTGCAATGAATGATGTATTTGATAATTTCATAATAGCTTTATTTGTACTAATAAATAAACTAAAAATATTCCAAGTTTCTAGCAACAGAAAAATGGATACAGAGATTGTAGCAAGTTCATATGAAGGGAACACCATACAGAAAGAAGCATGAGTAATCAACAGTTACACACAGAAGGCAGACAAATCTCCAAACATCAAATTGAGGAAAGAAGCCAATATATACTGCATGACTATGTTTAAATAATATACAGAAACAGGTTAAACTAAAAATGTTGTTAGAAGTTTGGGTGACAACTGTCATTGCACACAGGGTTAATGACCGGACGAGAGCACTGACAGCTCCTAGAATGTTGGTGATGGTCTTTCGTGATTCGAAGCTGCTTACCTGAATGTACTGAGCTTGTACATTTTCGGTAAAAAATTTCTCCTGAGTTATTACTTGTTAAACTTCTATCATGCTTTTAAAGCTCTCAGCACAGAATGGGACTGATAACAAGTGTTTGGCATGCATTAGGTATTAGAACACAAATGTAAATGAAGAGGAGAAGAATGAATTATCAAATGGAGGAGTAATTTGAAAGGACAGTTTGAGGAGTGGTGTAAGTTCTGCTTCATTCACAGGGACACTTCATTCATCAGCTGGACAGTCACCGAAGCCATACCAAGGCATAAGATTATCAGGAAGAACTTTTAACTTCAGACCAGGGAAATTATGTACAAGATAGCAAAGAAGAAATAATTTGGAAGACAAATTAATTAGGAGACGAGACGAGAAGCAAAATAGGATTATGGTTCAAAATGAAGGAAAAAGGAGGTTCCCATGAAGTGTGTTCTCAGGAGTTTTAATGCTGCTTAAGATTTGTGTGTGTGTGTGTGTTTATTTGAACCTAGCTAGGACACTTTTAGAAGAGTTGAAGTTAGAATGAAACTTGAAGGAATAAAGCCAGCAAGATGTGAACCACTAGGGAAAGGAGGAGAAGGGGAGAAATATACTACATCAACAGGACACAGATGATGGCACTGTCTTTAGTATATGTAAGTCTACTATTTTGTTAATAATTTGAAGGAACTGTGGAGAGGAAGGAACAGAAGATGTAAGAAAGCTGAAGCAAAAGAATGAGATCCTTGAGGCAGCCTGAGAAAAACAACCCAGTTCCCAGGTGAAGCAGACGGCTTTGGATAGGGAGTGCGGGCCCTTGTCCTCACAGGCAGGCGGAAGAGATGCAAGGCCGGGTGCAGGGTACCTGCTGCTGCTGATTTGCATGATGACGCAGTAGCTAACACTTACTGAGATATTCCTATGTCTGTTCCATTGAATGTCCCGCTCACAGCATAACTTCAGGAGCACTGTACTGGTGTTAGTTTCATTCTGCAGACGAAGAAATTGGGAGCAGGTAGTTTAAATGACCTGCCCAAATTGGTAAGTGGCAGAGCTTCGCTGCTCTTGCCAGTGTTCTCACCCAAATATTTCAATACTTACCTCTCCCTTGGTATCAGCAGGGTTAGGGACTCTTTCAAGACACAATATGGGTACAGAAAAGAAAGGGTATTCTGGTCTACCTCTATTATGCTGTGTAGTCTGTGTAAGTCACTTGTTGTCTCTAAGCAGTCTCTCTTCTGGGGAATAAGAGGCTAGGACCACATGAGTCGTTCCAGGTTGTTTCTCCTTCCACTATTCCTTGATCACTTTGAAAGACAATCTATCTAGAAAGGTTAGGAAAGAGTCTAACATTTAGCTGTAAAATCTTTCAGTTTCTAGAGTGAAGAATTTGGCTCATTCAATTCATGGATCAGTAAACTTTTCTTGTAAAGGGCAAGGTAATAAATACTTTAGGCCTTTCAGGCCATTCTGTGTCTGCCACAACTATTCCACCCTGTCATTGCAGTGTGGAAAGTAGTCATAGACATATGTAAATGAATAGATGTGGCTGTGCCCCAATTAAACTTTATTTACAAAATCAGGCGATGGCCAGATCTGACCAACAGGTTGCATTTTGTTAACTCCTACAAACTTGGAGTTGTGACCATTAATACTAACTCTCTCTCGTAACTCAGCATATGACCTCAGGAAAGTCGATTGAATCTACCTCCAATCAGTAAGCTAGAGATCACAGAAAATAAGGACATTTGCCTTACTATGACATGAGGTACCAAAGCTAACTGAAGTGATAGTAAAACACTGAAAATAGATTTAGGGGTATCATATGGAATGACTACGCCGGCTGTTCTTTCTTTCCAATGACTATTAAATCAGAAAGAAAATGGGATTAAATTGCATCAAGAGTGAAGGGGGAAAATATGGGGGATGCACTGGCTAGGACGTACTGCACTGGAGCATAAGTGGGGGATTTGGCTTCTCTGGGTGTCTTGAAAAATTAAATAGATATAATGTGTTAACAATCATCAGGAACTTCCGGGGAGGAAGTGGGCGTGAAATCTGCTTTCCTTTGTCTGTGAATTTTAAAAGAACCTCAACTGCAGTGTGCTGTTAGAGACACAAGGATGTATCCCAAGCATCCATTCAGCCCTTTCTGACATTGCCATGTGCATCTGAGATTCTGTGTGACTCTGGGAATGCTCTCTACCTCACTTCAGGGCGTGAGCAGGTGACCTATTCTAAGCCAACTAAGTAGACCAATCAGAATGAATCTTGGGTCCTTTCTAAATACAAAGGTACAAGGACATATTCACATACTCTGGACAGGGTCATGTGTGCACAAGAGACCTGGAACTGCCCCAGCACCTTGCTACCGTGAAAGCAACCAGAGTCAGAATGGTGCCAAAGTACCATGGAGGCCAAGGCCAAGAGAATCATGAGCAAAAAAGGCAGGGTCCTAATAACTCTGGATCAATACAGTCTGAAGCTGGCCCTTCCTTGGCCTTCTAACAGTGCAGGAGCTTATCTATCCCCTTTGTTGTCTTAAGCCAATTTGAATTGGTTTTATTGTTGCTTTCAAAAGAATGCATCCTAACTGATATATATTCTCCACTTGATTTGTATCTATAGCATGCCTTAGGCAAGGAGATAAAATGAGGGTTTAAAATGGCCCCAACACTTTCATACACTCCTAAAATGTTTCCCCAAACTTTACTCTAGATTGCTTTGAAAGCACAATACTAGTGCAGTGATCACTTTGTCATCACCACAGTTCTAATGTGTCAGCAATTCGTATCTCCTAGAACTTTAACAGAAAATGACAGGCTAGCTCAGAGGCCCCCTACCCTTTCAATCTGGCCAGATATAAATTATCATAATGAAGAGTCTTGTCCTCCTAGGATAATTCCCTCTTTCAAATCAGTTCTGTCTTCAGGTTTCTTAACTCCCACTTCAGATGGCATCAGAGAAAATTACAGAAACGATACTATGAATGCACTATTCCCAGTCCCCAGAGAACCCTATGCTAGGGCAAGAAACGAGACATTAGGAATCTGTATTGTAGGATGGCAGAAAGAGATTTCCAATTTATTCAGGAGTGAGGGGAAGAGACCACTATTCAGTGGGATATATTTCATTCATTCTCTCTATTTTTAGTGTCCTCCAGAAACTGAAGTACCACAAGAAATTTTAGTGTTCAGCATACTGAATACTTTACATCAACATAAAAACAAGATCAGGACAACCTATTGGCCATGGTAGCAGCTCTCCCTGGGTAGCCAGCAGCAAAACAAAGATAATGAATTAACCAGCTTCTCTGATCCATTCATCTTCTCAAGATATGCTGGATCCGTAGCCTGGAAAGATGCATGGTGGTGAACATCTATCTTTCAAATGTCATTGAAAGAAGGCTACTATTTCAACCACAAAGTCGTCTCTTTTCCTTCACCACTGCTATGTAAAACTGTTCTAAATGGCATGCCCTCCTGCAAATTCAAATATAGATAGAATAGGCCCACTACAAAAATATGCAATTCTCTACGTGCCCAGAATACAAGAGAAATCAAGTAGGCCAAATGGAAAGCAAACAGAAAAGCAAATGGAAAGCAGACACAGGGACCTTAAAGGCACTGCATGGATCTTGCTTCTAGTTGAAGCGATGTTTCTTGCTTGTGAGAGAAACTCGAAACACTGGTAGGAGAAGGCAAACAGTCTCACAGGATAAAAAGGTGTCTTGGGATTAATCCTAGTGGGTCTCAGACTCTAGCTGCAGTTTCTGCTTCTGTCCTGATCTAGCCATCCCTCTCCCCACCATGCTGGCTTCCCCTTCATCTCTTCTAAGGGCAAACACATCTACAAACGGCACTATGCTCTGGTGTCCATGGGCTTGAAATCCCACCAGCATTACTCTTGTACTGCTCTCTCCTTCCTATGGGAACATGGAAGGGCAATGCTATAACATTAGTCTAAGCAAAGAAGAAGAAACACTAAACTGCATGCTTGCTTAGAAAAATAAGAAATAATAATAGTCACAAATTCCCAGTTGGAAAATCCTTTGTAGAGTAATCTTATGTGCTTTATCTTTCTTTTTTCCTTAAAAGATTAAAGAGGAACTTTTACCTTTATACTCTCCCAAAAATTCACAATAGGACTTAATAGGTGTCACTTCTCGGCCTTTTGGCTAAGATCAAGTGTAGGACTTAATAGGTTGAAGTCAATTTGGATTAGGTAGGGGTTAAAATGATCACTAAGGACCCATATCTCTGCCACCACAAAAATTTAAAAATGTCCAGCACACTCCTTCTCCCTTGCTGAAGAAGTCAGTCAACTGCCTAGAGATTTTCCTGTGAGAGTCTCTTTTGTCCTTGTCTGTCCCCTGTCGTAAGGAGGAACACCAAGCTCAGGTCCCCGGATCCTTGGGTTTACTGAGAAAGCCTGACTTCAGAGAAGCTGGAATACACAACTGGAGAACTACTCCGATATTTTGTGAGCACTGTCTTTGATTGGATGGAAATGTCCACTGTCCTAAAATTTCCAGTCACCCTGCAATTAACAGAAACAAAGAATGGCCTGGTTCAGTAAGCACCAGCAGCCTCAATTAGCTTGTAGTCCCTCAGTCTAACACTCCTCTGATTAAACGTGTCTCTGCTCCAGCCCTGCTGATGACCATGTCCTTTGCTAAACCCTATGCTAGGCAAGGACACAGAACACAGCCCATTCGTCTAGGAAAATCAGGGTATGTCTATCTTTAGGAAGCCCTTTGTAAGATCATGTTAACTATTACAAGAAATGCCTCTCTTTTCTATAACAAAAAAGCATATAAGCTAAAACAACTGCAAATGTTAGAATTTCCTGGTAGCCAACAGTGAATGAAAAGGAAATAATGATAAGGTCAAATTCTGTTAGCCTCACTTGTTGACTTGAAGCATCATCCCACCTTGAAACTCTAAATAAACATTAGAACACAGGTAAGCACCTCCAAACAAACTGTGCTTGTGATACTGATGGTCATTGAGCCCAGACAGCCTTCTGCAGCCTTCTGTCACAGTTGTGAGTGCTAAGAACCCTCAGTATGGAAGACACAAATTGTGAAGTCGGGGTAGGGTTTGATCTGCAGGCAGGGTATACAGGGAAGCAAAGTTCAATATTGAACAAGGATTGTTACAGAATTATTTTAGGGGTTCATCAGCCTACCTGGGAAGCAAAGGAAAGTGAGAAAGGATTTGACACCATTATGAAAACCACATCAAGCCAAAAACAACAAAATCTCACTAAAAGTTGTAGATTAGGAATCACCTTTGCTGTTAATCTACAAAATATTTAAGACAGGCCAGCTTCTTGGGCAATATGATTTGACCTAAACCTAAATATCAAGGATATGAGATCAGACAACAGCAAGGAAATATTTCTTTATCACCACCACTTACCCACCCTACCTACTCTAGCTCCAGAAAGCAACAGTCTTCTTCCATCTCTGGTTATGCAGCTTAAACAATCAGTTGTCAAATCCAGCGACTTCTGCTCTTAAACATTTTAGGTTTATTAAATTATAAGTCAAAAAGAGTCCACACACAAAGACTCACATATGAAGCTATGTGAGATTGTACTGTACATTCACAACACTTTCTTTCTCCTTGACCTTGTTATCTATGAGCGCATTGTTTTACTCAATAGTTTCCACATGTTTTCCATGTACCTATTCCATCTACATATCTGCCATTTAACTAGCTTTCCATGCTTAAGGACATGAGAGAGATACATGGCAACAGTCCAACATACGCACATGCATTTGCAAACATAATATGTTCCTTCTTTTCCTTGTAAAGAATGAAGCAACTTCAAACAGAAACCTGAAGATAATGTAAAATGAAGATCTTAAAATTTGCTAGTCAGTATTTCTTCATCTCCACATATCAAAACTGGATGCCTGACTTGCTCTCATGAAAGTCAAAATAGTGAATGTATAGCCTTTTCCAATCAATGTTCAATATTAGAATATCCAAGGGCATCTTCCAAAGAATATTAAAACCTGGGGCCCATCTACCCCCAGAAACTTCTAGTAGAAAGGGTCCAGTGAAAGAGTCTTATGCTAGAGACAGACACAGCTGGACTTGGATCACTATGAATTATAAACACTTGGGCAATAAAACTCTCTGAGCCTTATTCTTTTTTTTGACAGGCAGAGTGGACAGTGAGATAGAGAGACAGAGAGAAAGGTCTTCCTTTGCCGTTGGTTCACCCTCCAATGGCCGCCATGGCCGGCGCACCGCACTGATCCAATGGCAGGAGCCAGGTACTTCTCCTGGTCTCCCATGGGGTGTAGGGCCCAAGGACTTGGGCCATCCTCCACTGCACTCCTGGGCCACAGCAGAGAGCTGGCCTGGAAGAGGGGCAACCGGGACAGAATCCGGCGGCCCGACCGGGACTAGAATCCGGTGTGCCGGCGCCGCAAGACGGAGGATTAGCCTAGTGAGCTGCAGCGCCGGCCAGCCTTATTCTTCTAATCTGTACAGTGGGGACAGTATTACTGTGAAGATCATGGATAATATATGCAAAATCTTCAGCATACTCTCTGGAACATAGTACACCTCCAAAAATGTCAACCTTATGCTACTAATCTTCAGATTTCCTGGCAGTATAATAGAAACCAGAGAAAAGAAGGCTATGCATACTTTCAGTATTCTAACAAGCTTAGAGTATCATGAAGTTTAATGACTTTGTCCATGATAAATTGTATAGTATCTGAAATACTGCTATGGCATCAAAAAGAGGTAATATATTCTAGGGCTAAGCAAAGGTGTATTCTGACTCTTATTATACTTTTTTTTGTCTTTATCTAATTTAATGCAAATATATTAACTATCTGGGTTACTGCATGACCAATACTTTTCAGCCACAACACAGAATAATAGATAGCTCTTTAATATTTATTTAACAGTAAAGCATTACTTGCTTGTAAATGAAGCCTGAAATTAGTGGTGTGTTGTATAATGGTGTTGTTTCTTGTTTTTATTTTTCTAAGGGGCATATGAAATTATGCTGTATATGAATCTGAATAGATTTGAGTTGGACACATTACCAAGATGCTATTAAGTTGTCATGGTCTGATAGTCCTCAGTAGCATCTTATCTGTGTGGCATCTTGCTACCAAATGCCACCAACGCAAAATGTGTGACTGCAAAAATCAAACATAAACATGAAGCAAACACATGAGAATGGGGAAAAATAATCTTTTCATTTCGGTACATTGATCTTAATTAGAAAGTAAATGTTTCCCCCCTCAAGGCCATTCCACATTTCTATAAACAAACCCTTCTGTAAGAAAAAAATCCGAAGAAAATGATGCACAAAGAGATACGCTGGACTCATCATGGGTCCTGTCTTCCAAAGATGATAAACTCATGCCTTTCACAGAAAAAGTTTTAGCCCCGTTACTAAAAATGAAAGGGCAGAAATCATGGGAGCGGAAGGTCTTGCTGTTATACAGAGTCTGAGCACTCGGACTCATGAGAAAGGGAGCAAAGGAGAGGCAGCACAGTGATTTCCATTCTCCGTCTGCATGTTCCAGATATTGGAGATAATAAAAGAGGTATTGGAAAAAGCGCCTGGAGGCACCACCCCAAATGTTTCAAATTACTATTCTGAACATTCATTAACCATCCAAACCATACTATGCTGAACACAGTCTTTGGTACATATCAATCAAAAGCACACTTTCTCACCTATGAACAGGACAAAAGAGCCCCAACTCTGGCATCTTTGTTCCTCCTGGTTCTTTTCTCTGGAAAATATTGCTTTAAATTGCTGTTTGTTCTCATAATGGACTAGTGCCTTTGAGGTCTTTACTGCAGAAAGTGCTCTTAATGTACAGTCAATATACATGCAAAGTTTGCAGTGATTATACGCGGCTCAAAGGATTTTAAAACATCTCCCTGGAAGCTTTTCCTTTTCCCCCCAGAATTCCCCTATGAGTTTCCTAGAGGCTGATTTTCAACAGAGCACAACACAGTCTCCTCTTGGAAATGCATTTCTCATGGAAATGGGTTACATCGAATGGGAGCTCACTAATGTGAGAGCCATCTCTCTGATTGCACTAAATCGCCATGTAGAACAAAAACAGCCTATTCACAGACACGGGAAATGTGATACTGGGCAGGAAGCATGGACCTAGCACCTCCCTTCTCTGCTTCTTTTGGCCAGTGCTTCTTTGGTTCGATTCCTTGTGTTTTGCTGTGCTTATTCCATAGCTCCCTGGGCTTCTCACTTAGAATTTTGCTAAATTCAGTGGATTCATTTTGTGTGTAGCTTTGTTGACACCTCTACAGCACTTGAAAGGCATAACTCTCAAATGTGTCTTTACTATAATTCCACTCCACATACATTTCTCAGTCTCTTAAAGGGTATTTTTGGAATCCCACATGTGGCTGTTCACAGGGATCTCCTCTCTCCCATCTCTGCCTATAAACTCTCTCTCTCATCACTTCCCTGGCCCATCTCATCCTATACACTCATTCCCTTATAGAGCGTGCACTCTTCCTTAAGGCATTCATTATCTTCTATCTGCAGATGACCCCAACCACAGCTCTAGCTTAAATCTTTCCCAGGTTAGGATACCTATGTGGGAAATTGCCACAGATAGACGCAATAGGGTACAACACAGGCAGGGAACACTAATTTTACCTAAGTCTTAAAGTCTCTTCCTGAAGGAAAAAGTTACGATGACAGAAATAAGCCAACTAATATACAAGACTAATTTTTTAGTATTTTTAGTAACCTTTCCCTAATCTAAACCTGGCTTTCTAATGTGACTTATACTTTTATTGTTTATAGGTTTTTCCAGTTGTCTCCAGTTTACACACACACACACACACACACACACACCAGCATTTCTTCTTGCTCTACTTGCCATTTGGTCTCATGTGTCTTAGGCACACTCAGCAGAGATGGCCCCACTTACTCTAGAGGAAGGAAGGTCAGGCTTAAGAGTAAAGGAAAAGCATGAGGGATGGAGAAGGTAATCTAGATTACTAATTTGTTTACCTCTCCCTTCAAGAACATAAACTCTGCAACAGTGGAGATTTTTGTCCTTTTTTCCCTCTCCGCTATCTTGAGTAGCTAGAATGGTATCTGGAATAAAATAGAAGTTCAACCAAGAAAGTGTCATATCAAAGAATGAGCTGATGATAACAAGATATTAGGAACCAACACAGCCATCAGTGTACTGGGATGGTAACAGAGCACAAGAAGTCCAAAAGTGCATAAGACAACATCAGAAAAGGAACCAGGAAAGTCAATGAAAGGTCTCCATTATACCTCTCCTGACAATGGCCCCAATTACTTAAGGGATGTGTGTTAGGATGACGCAAGACACAAGAATGAAAAGGATGGAAGGAAGCAATAACTATACATTCTAAACAATTTTTTGAAATGGGTTGTTTCTTTAAAATGGGTCTGAGAAACGTAACTTACTACCATGGAGTGGAGGCCAGCTTGAGACCAGTATCTGATCTCTAAGGTTTTACAGACTGTCTACACTTAAAAAAAAAAAACACACCAGATTGGAGAGGCCAGGGTCTAAAGGTGAGGATGCAGCCAGCAGAGGTAATGACATGTAGTTAAATGAATGTCAGACAGGAGTAGAGGTCTCGCTTCCAGTCATGCCACAAACTGAATTGCTTCATGTGCTCATTCAACTATGTATTGTGGTACATGCATTGCTTACTCAATCTCTGAAGTCATCATTTCATTTGACCCATTTGTAAAGGATGCCTAGCAGGGGCAAAGTACTAAGCTTGGTGCTTTAACAGTCAGAGCACAGGATCAAGTCTCCGCTCTTGGAAACTAAGCTACTGAGACAGCTGCCCTCTTGGAAGACTGAGTTTTATCTGGGTCAGAGGACCTGTGGTGCACATATGGACGTGAAAATTGTGTCTCTTACATCTGTTCTCATTGGTCCCTGTAAACACTATATCTATGTTTTACTTCACAGGTGCTACAGTTATTTCATCATATACTGGAATTGGCTCAGGCTTCACTGACTTTTTGTGACCTTGAGTAGTCCAAAAAGTTAATAAAATTAGGCTATTAAGAATTTCTAGATTCTATGTCATCACATTCACTATGCCCAAAAGCAAGAAGCCCAATAGACAATCTGCAGTTCACAGAAAAGGGACAAAACATCCACAGCACAGTTTCCCTCAAAATGAGTCTATCTGCCAAGTAAACCAGGTCACATCTGAAGGAAGCAGTTACTAGAACATTCCAACTCACACACAAAAGATGGGAAAATGTTAATGAAGAAACACTGCTGAGCAAAACGTTGGGTGGGTTGAAAATGACAGCTAACAGGTGAAATGTGAAGTCGCAGGGTGGTGAGGCCAGAGTGAGGAAGCAGAGTAACAAGGAACAACAAGAGATCAGCACAGCAAAGGGCACTGCTCGCGGGGTGGGAGGCCTTCCAGGGCATCCTCACTGCACAGCTGGGGCACCCTGCTTGGAACCTCTCAGGAGACAGGAGGTCAGAGTAGGCAACGGGATAAGAGCTGGTTGGGGAACCTAAAGAAAATGTAAAATAATCATATTTATAAAAGAAATGGGAGGTTTCTCTCTGCCTCTCCTTTCACTGTTGTAACTACCTCTCAAATAAATAAGTAAAATCTTAAACCTCTCAAATAAATAAAATCTTAAAAAAAAAAAAAAGAAAGAAATGAGAGGACTGTGTAGACGAGACCACATCTGCAAAGAACATACCCAAAGCAAGAGCGTTTCAGAGCCTGGTGTCCTGGGTTAACAACTACAGAGTCTGCCTACCAGACCCAAAATGTTCCTCCAAAGGGAAGCAGCAGTGCCATATCGTGCATGTGGCAAACCTGAGTGCAGTGAGAGTGGAGAGTTGCCTCCTGAAAAGGGAATTTAGTAAAGAGAACTCTACAAAAAAGAGAAAAAAAAAATTGTCTGAGATTTCCTTAGTGGATTTTTGTCCAAAAGGCAGTTATATAAAAATCTTACAGAAGAAAACCTCACAGCAATCCTCATCTATTATCTTGTTTCAAGGGACAGAGGAGGTAGGAAACAAATCTTTCCAATTTCCAATGACAACTTTTCCAAATACTAAGTACTTGCCACCTGGCATGTCAAAATAGAGGCAGTATCATCTTTAATTCACAAGAAAAAGCATAAAAGACACAGAAATAAATACTACTAAGAAAAACTGACCCAAAATTTTAAAACAGGGCAAGAAGGAAGTAACTCTAATATTAAAAATGGCTTTCTTCAAAAACATCACCAAGCAGCATCACAGAATGAGGAACTTAAAGGACTTAACCTTTCTGGTTGACCCGTAGCAGAATTAAATTATATCTTTCCCAAACTGATTCCTCCCATGAAATCTATTCTGTTTAGGATGAAGGTCAAGAACCAAGTGAGAATGATTTAGTGCTGCTCTTCAAATCCAATTCCATAATCATACTCTTGTCTCAAAATACCAGCTGGACATCAAAGATGAAAAGAAAAAAAGACACAAAAAAGTGTGCCACACTCTCAAGAACATTATGAAGCTGAAATACGACCATTTCAAATTCTATCATCCTCAAGTACAAATAGAATTTTCATTCATCCAATACTAAGCAAACACGGGGCTGACCGATGGCTGCGCTGTTTTCCAACCATCTCACCTTTTCACACAGAGTAGCACTGCCCACTGCTATCTCCTCTTTCTCTAAAGAACTTGACTTCTTTTGAAAAACTGCAGTGCTTACATTAAATTCTCTCCTTTCCTTTTCCGCCCATGCATAATAGCCGCTTGACTCCAGAGAAAGTAAAATTCAACAATCCATTGGTATTACTGAAAATACTTCAAAAACAGGCAGGACCAAAATAGCACAGTGGACAGGCCTTGCAGCTGTTTTGTCTCTAATAGAAGCCTAACGGTGGCTTCAACTGGGAAAATAAAGACCCTTTATTGATTATTACCTGTGCGATGATGCGCCATCAGGGGATCTGAGGAGGAAACTGTCATTTAAGATGTTGTCCCACAACAAAATTGGACCTAGGCCAAAGGATTGTACCCTAAAGAGATTTTCTCCCCAGTTCTCTTCCAAAGCATTTCAGAAGCACGTTGCCAATGTAAATTATTCTAATAGATAAATTAAGGTTTTAAACAAACATTCTTGTACATAAGGAACTAGCCAAAATGTATGGAGCATGCATCATGTGTTCTGCTTTTTGCAGAAATAAAAAGTTTATTTGTTTAAGAAATCCCCAAATTGTATAGGCAACAGAAGCAAAAACAGACAAATGAGATTACATCAACCAAAAATTTCTGTACAGCAAAGGAAATAATCAATAAAGTAAAGACACAGCCTACAGAATGGAAGAAAAAAATTTAAGTCATACTTAGGGGTTAATATCCAAAATATATAAGGAACAACTCAACAGCAAGAAAATAATCCAATTTAAAAAGGCACAAAGGACCCTGAACAGACATTTCTCATATGAATGGCCAACAACTTATAAACATTTTTTAAAAAGCTCAACATCACTAATCATCAAGGAAATTCAAATTAAAACCACCATGAAATATGACCTCATACTTGTGAGGATGGCTATTATCAAAGCATGAAAGAAAAGAAGTGTTAACCAGAATGCAGAGAAGAGGGAACCCTTGTACACTGCTGGTGAGGGTGTAAATGAATAGAGCCATTACACAAGACAACATGAACAAGCAAAAATACTAGAAATAGAACTAAATGGAGGATGGCCCAAGTGCTTGGGCCCTGCACCCCATGGGAGACCAGCAGCGCGCCAGCCGTGGTGACCATTGGAGGGTGAACCAACAGCAAAAGGAAGACCTTTCTCTCTGTCTCTCTCACTGTCCACTCTGCGTGGAAAGACAGACAGAAAGAAGGAAGGAAGGAAGGAAGGAAGGAAGGAAGGAAGGAAGGAAGGAAGGAAGGAAGGAAGGAATAGAACTACAATATAATCCAGCAGTTCCGCTACTGGGTGCATATCCAAAGGAAATGAAATCAATATGTCAACAAGATAATTGCATTTCTGTGTCCACCGCAGCATTATCCACAATAGCTAAAATATGGAGTCTAAGTGTCCATCAACAGGTAACTGATACAGAAAACATGAAGTATATACATATCTATATGGCATACACATTTGTCCTCTTAAGCAAAAGGAAATCTTGACATTTAGGAAAACATGCATGAACTCGGAGGATATTAAGTGAAATAAGTCAGGTACCGAAAGGCAAACACTGCATGATCTTACTTGTATGTAGCCAAAAGACACAAAATTTCAGTTAGATAGAAGAAGTAAGGTCAAGAAATCTACTGCACAACACGGTGACTACTGTTGATAACAAGGTCCTTGAAAATCACTAAGAGTGTAGATTTTACCTGTTTTCACCATAAAAAATGACAAGTATGGGAAGTAAGACATGTATTCACTGGGAAGATTTAACCACTCTACAATGTGTACATATTTTAAAATATTATGTCATGCAATTTTTTGTCAATTTAAAAATACACAGAAATCCATCATCTAACCAAATACTTTGATGTCAAAAGTTAGTTTATAGGACAAGACAGAATCAAAGATGTCATCAGGTCCGACATGATATGACTTACCAGTTGTGTGATCAAGCTTGAATTCAAAGGAACCAGATGCCACCATGAGGTTGGCCGACTGACGTGCACCTTGAAATAAGGAAAAGTTGCAGCAGCTCTGAGGGAAAGAAACAATAAAAGACCCAGGGGAAAAGTCACATGGGCAGAGCCTGAAGGCAGGAAACCCAGAGTTCTAATGGGAGGCAAAGAAAGAATGGCACGGCTGGGGTCTGCTCTCCTCGAGCAGCAGCCTTGGAAGTCCAAGCTCATGACTTTCTAGATGCCATGTCGTCTCTGTCTACGAGAGTGGCTGCCTGGTATCCTCCTCCCCATTCTCATAGCGACTGAGAGTGTGGCCCACTTCCCCACCCCCACCCCCGCAACAGACAAACTGACCTGTTGAGGCTCCAACCATTGCTAACCTCTACACTGTTGCTGCCTCTTACCAAAGAGGCTAACAAGCAAACTCCCTCACAAACAGACACATTCACGTGGTTCCATTCTTGCTGATGACTTATAAAGGGACGTATGCTGTGGCTTCCAAAAAAAAAAAAAAAAAGAGAGAGATGGAGACAAACTGAAGGAAGAAGAAATGTTGCTAAGCTTCTACCTTTTCTCTTCCTGACCTGAATATGTGTTTGGTACCTAGACTTCTGGCAGGTTCCAAACTGTGATGAAGAGATGACAAGCAGGAATAGAAAGCCTATATAAGGAAGACAGAATGTAGACAACAACGCTATAAGGTTTTTAACAATGCCACTGAAGCAATTGTTCAAATCTAACTCCAGATGTTTTTGTTATGATAGTAAAGAAATAAATAATGAGTATCCATTCAGGTTAAAACACCATTAGTTAACACTACTTTGTTATTTGCAGCCAAATGTATTTCAAACAGGTTTACCAGTCCTCCAAATCCTAAAATCCCAGGTCTACAAGGCTGACTCAACAGAAGCCATATTTGTATGGCTCTACCCTCAGGCTATAGTTAAGTGTTCCAAGGGTGAGACCTGAATCAGGGTCCTTCCTGGGGTTTCACAAACTGAAGCTCAGCAGCAAAATGGACTCTCCTACACCTTGCGCCACGTAAAATGTTAAACTTGGGTTGCCAATGGCTCTGGTTTTTGGCACAGGTATTGCAGCTTAGCGTTAAGCTGTTGACTGGGACACCTACATCCCATACTGTAGCGCCTGCTTCAAGTCCCAGCAACTCTGCTTCAGATCCAGCTTCCTGTTAATGTGCATCCTGGGAAGCAGTGGGTAACAGCTCAAGTAATTCAGTCCCTGCCACTCATGTGGGAGATCCAGATGGAGTTTCTAGTTCCTGGCTTTGGCCACCCAAATTCCAGCTGTTGTCAGCAATTTGACAGTAAACCATAGAAGACCTCGTTCCGTCTCTCTCTCTTTCTCTCTCTCTCTCTCTCTGCCTTTACTTTCAAATAAATAAAAAATGAATAAATATTTTTAATTAAGAAGTAACCTGATACTGAAGTTATTAAAAAAGAAAAAAAGCCTGTCTGTAATAAGAATGGCAAAAGTCAAGAAAGGAGTAGAAGAAACACGGAATGAAAGTCCTGGTAGGGGTTCAATTCCCCAGACTCAACTATTCCTATGCCCACCTGCATACGTGCCCCTTCTAGAGTCTGCTGAGTTAACCATTCTCAGAATTCCAAATGAATCCATTTTTTCCTTTTTGCCTAATCTAGGATGGGTTAGGTTTTATCAACGTTATAACCAAAAATGTACAATCTATATACAATAGTTCATATCACTCCCTTATAGAACAACTTTCCCATGACTTTTCATTACACAAAAAAACTAATATGACCTTTCTAGGAGGTCAAAGTATAAGAAAAGGCAGAGTTCATCTTTTCTCTCTCTTTTTTTTTTTTTTTTTTTTTTTTTTTGATAGGCAGAGTGGACAGGGAGAGAGAGAGACAGAGAGAAAGGTTTTCCTTTTCCATTGGTTCACCCTCCAATGGCCGCTGCGGCCGGCACGCTGCGGCCAGCGCACCGCACTGATCCGATGGCAGGAGCCAGGTACTTATCCTGGTCTCCCGTGGAGTGCAGGGCCCAAGGACTTGGGCCACCCTCCACTGCACTCCTGGGCCACAGCAGAGAGCTGGCCTGGAAGAGGGGCAACCGGGACACAATCCGGCGCCCCGACCGGGACTAGAACCCAGTGTGCCGGCACCACTAGGCGGAGGATTAGCGTAGTGAGCCGCGGCGCTGGCCATCTTTTCTCTTAAATCAAGGTGGGAAATGCTATCATTACTTGGGTTCGGATCCCAGTAGTGACCTTGGGTAAATTATTTAGCTTCCTTGGAACCTCATTTACATATATTTAAAACTGCTAAGACAGTTACCCATAATTCACACTCTTTTTTAGAAACCTTTTATTTAATTAGTAGAAATTTCATATGTACTACTTTAGGAATATAGCAATTCTTCCCCCTATACCCACCCTCCAACCCCAACTCTCTTCCCACCACTTCTCCTCCCTCTCCCATCCCATTCTCCATTAAGATTCGTTTTTAATTAATTTTATATATAGAAGACCAACTCTATACTAAGTAAAGAGGTCAACACTTTGCACATACACATAATATAAATAACTATTTGAGAACAAGTTCTACAGTTAATTCTCATAGTACAACTCATTAAGGACAGAGGTCCTGCAAGGGGAGTAAGTGGAGAGTGACTTTGTGACTCCTGTTGTTAATTTAACAATTAACATTCTTATGTATGATGTCAGTGATCACCTGAGACTCTTGACATGAGTTGCCTAGGCTATGGAAGCCTTTTGAGTCCACAATCTCCATCAGTATTTAGACATGGCCATAAGCAAAGTGGAAGTTCTCTCCTCCCTTCAGAGAAAAGTACATTCTTCATTGATGGCCCCTTCTTTCCCCTGGGGTCTCACTCATGGAAATCCTTCATGTAGGACTTTTTTTTGTCACAGTGTCTTGGCTTTCTAACCTGAGTTGCTCTCATGGGCTTTTCAGCCAGCCCAGAATGCCTTAAAGGCTGATACTGAGGTCAGAGTGCTGTTTAGGGTGCTGTCACAGTCAGCTGTGTGGACTGCTTCCCATATTGGAACATTCTCTCCTTTTTTTAATTCTATCTATTGTTACTACCATACACTTGATGTTATTTATATGATCCCTTTAACACTTACTCCTATTGATATGATCAACTGAACACTTAATATGATCACTTTAACACTTAAGATGGCAATATTACCACCCACCTTAATGGGATTTGGAGTCCCATGGCACATTTTTAGCTTTACCCTTAGAAGTAAGTCCATGGGAAAGTATGAAGAACTATAGAGCTCCTCCCTCTCTTATTCCACCCTCATTTTATACTGGGATCTATTTTCAATTGACTTTATATACATATGATTAATTCTATGTTAAGTAAAGAGTTCGACCAATAGTATTAAGAAGGAAAAAAAATAAAAATTAAAAAAAAAAACTCTTCCTCAACAGTCAAGACAAGGGCTGTTCAAGTCATTGCTTCCCATAGAGTCAATATCATTTCTACAGGTTTCCTTTTAGGTGCTCTGTTAGTTATCACAGATCAGGGAGAACATATGGTATTTGTCCCTTTGGAATTGGCTAATTTCACTAAGTATTATGTTTTCCAGATTCATCCATTTTGTTGCAATTGACCAGATTTCATTTTTTTACTGCTGTGTAGTATTCCATAGAGTACATATCCCATAATTTCTTTATCCAGTCTTCAGCTGACAGTCATTTAGGTTGATTCTATGTCTTAGCTATTGTGAACTGAGCTGCAATAAACATGGGGGTGCAGATAATTCTTTTATTTGCTTATTTCATTTCCCTTGGGCAAATTCCCAGGAATGGGATAGCTGGATCGTATGGTAGACTATATTCAAACTTCTGAGCTATCTCCAAACTGTCTTCCATAGCAGTTTTACCAGTTTACATTCCCCTCAACAGTGGATTAGGGTACCTTTTCACTCACATCATCACCAGCATTTGTTATTTGTTGATTTCTGTATGAAAGCCATTCTAACTGGGGTGGGGTGAGGTGAAACCTCATTGTGGGTTGTTTTTTTTTTTTTAAGATTTTTTTATTTGAAAGAGTTACAGAGAGAAAGAAAGAGAGAGAGAGAGAGACAGAGACAGAGAGAGGTCTTCCATCTGCTGGTTCACTTGCCAATTGGCTGCAATGGTGGGAGCTGTGCTGATCTGAGGCCAGGAGCCAAGATTTTCTTTCGGGTCTCTCACACAGGTGCAGGGACCCAAGGACTTGGGCCATCCTCCACTACTTTCTCAGGACATAGCAGATAATTGGATTGGAAGTGGGGCAGCCAGGTCTCAAACCGGCACCCATATGGGATGCCGGCACTGCAGGCGGTGACTTAAACTGCTAAGCCACAGCACCAGCCCCCTCTTTGTGGTTTTGATTTGCATTTCCCTGACAGCAAGTGATCCTGATCATTTTTTCATGATACTGTTGACCGTTTGGATTTCCTCTTTTAAAAAACATCTATTTAGTTCTTTGCCTATTTCTTAAGTGGGTTGTTTGTTTTGTTGTTGTGGAGTTTCTTGATCTCTTTATATATTCTGGTTATTAATCCTTATCAGTTGCTTGGTTTGCAAATCATTTCTCCCAATCTGTCAGTTGTCTCTTCACTTTCCTGAGTGTTTCTTTTGCAGTGCAGAAGCTTCTCAATTTGATGTAATCCCATTTGTTAATTTTGACTTTTACTGCCTGTGCCTCTGTAGTCTTTTCCAGGAACTTTTTGCCTGTGCCAATGTCTTGCAGGGTTTCCCCAATGGTCTAATAGTTTGATGGTATCGGGACATAAATTTAGGTCTTTAATCCATTTTGAATGGATTTTTGTGAAAGGTGTAAGGTAGTGGTCCTGTTTCATACTTCTGCATGTGGAAATCCTGTTTTCCCAGCATCATTTGTTGAAGAGACTGTCCTTGCTCCAGGGATTGGTTTTAGTTCCTTGGTCAAATGTAAG